TTTATGAACTTCGGTAAAGCCTTTTTTTCTTTTTTTGGGAGAAAAGGAAAAAAAATAACTTTAGTAAAGCTACTTTTATGATTACCAACTAGTTTTTTAATACTATATTTTCATACATTGACTTTGAATAACGTGTTAATATTATTTTGAAAAAGTCCACATTTCACTTGCCAAGCAATATTTGCCCCCAAATCAATTCACAGGACCCATTCCAAATTTCCAAACACCAAATACCAATACCGAAAAATTCCCGAGAAACCATCATCATCAAGATACTTCTCGATATCAGCACTCAGAAGCGACGTGCCCCCATATCATTTGAAGGTTAAATAGAAAATTCAAGCAACATGGGTGGGGTAAGTGATGTATCAATCTGTACCCAAAATTCTAAAGTTGATTGTTGTAGATAATGCTCTGCAAATTACCAAGAAAGTGAAGGTCTACCTGCAAGGTAACTGAGCATCATCTAAAAGGAAACCAGCAAGAAAACTCGTTACCTGGGGCCGGGCCCAGTTACAGCTGTCTCAATTTAATTGAGGATGCTTTCCCGCATACATAAAAATATAAAAATAATAATAATAATAATCTAAAATCTGGTGATCAAATGTTTGAAGGTGGAGGCCAACCACATGGGATTGGTACCCCACACCTGTAATCCTTTCCCCCATAATTACGTAGTTAAAAAAATTAATAAAAAAAAAAATTTGTGGAGGTGGAGTGCGTTTGTGGTTGTTTTAAGACCAAAAAGTTATTGTAATTCTCCTGCAAACCACAAGACTTTGTTCAAAGACCTGAAAGTTATCGGCACCTTTTGCCCCTCTCCATGCCTAGACCAGGCCTCATCTTTGCCGCTCTTCTTCTTCTTCTTCTTCTCGCCTTAATTCATGAGACCTGCAGTGCCAAAGATAAACATTACTGTCCACCTTCTTCTTGTGGAAATAATTCGAATATTAGCTACCCTTTCAGATTAAACACAGATCCGCCTAATTCCTGCGGAATGACTGCAGATCCAATATATACTCTATTCTGTGAGAACAACCTTACAGTATTGTACTCTGATCAATCAAGAAAATTCTACGTGAAAGCAATCAATTATGACAATCAAACAATTCGAGTAGCTGATGCTAGTGTTGAGGAAGGGAGCTGCTCCATACCTCAATATTCTTGGGACGCCCAATAACTTCTCAACGTTTTCAAAATATTATAATTATTCTTCTTCTTCTTATTATTATTATGATGCCTATTTTGATGCTTTTTGGGTGGATGTTCTTTTCATAAGTTGTGGAAATCTTGTAAGTGATCCTCTTTATGTGGAAGCTCCTGCCTGCATCAATGAAAGCTCTTTCTCCACTCCTTCTAGGCCTAAATCTGAAGGCAAAAGGTATTATTATGTGAAAATTGGAAGGACAACTGCACTTGAGTTAAAACCCTCATGCCGTATTGAGCTAATGGCACTTACACCTTTCATATGGGAGATGAATTACGGGAACCTCTCCTACCTGGACATCCACCATTGGTTAGCATATGGAATTGAGTTGTCGTGGAGGTTTGTTTCATGTGGAGAGACAGAGTCTTCCTGTATTAATATGGAAAACCAGTGTGTTAATGTTTCTCATCCTACATATCATGGTACTTTAAAAACAAATTCTTTTGATTTGAGTTCCAATTGTGCATATATATGCCTTTTCATTTCTTGGTCGTAACTTTTTTTAGTTGCAAAAGGTTTTGGCTAATTTTGTTTACTTCATGCAGTGACAGTGAACGAAGTTTTCAACAGAGGTATCAATTGGCTCAGTTATCATTTACCTTGTGAGTACCTCTAAGCCACATCTTGTTCAAATATATATTATATATATAAAGAGTAAAATCTTAAGTAGTATAAGAAGGGTATAGAGTCAACTCTGTCTATTTTGTTTCTTTTTCTTCTCTCCCTTTGATTCTCTAAAAATGAGTTTGACTTTATGGTAATTTTATAAATATTTTGATCCTTAAAGGCATTTTGATAGATGAAAGTTTTAAATTAAATAATGACAATTGGTGTAATTTTTGTTAAACTTTTATCTAGTTTGTAATTACATTTTTCTTAATTTATATATTTTTTCTTTTTGAATGAAAATTTTTTATCTTTTTCTATTTGATGCTATTTTTGCAATAGTTATTTTTTTACTTTTTATATTTATATGAAAATTTTTTAATCTAATCTTAAAATTTATTATGTTTTAAATCAAATAAATTAAATTTGATAAAATAATTTT